GCCACAGTGTTATTCAGAGGCTGTCAAGGACTCTCGTTGGAGAGAAGCAATGAGAAAGGAAATTGAAGCTTTAGAAAACAATAGAACCTGGACAGTGGAGGACTTGCCACCAGGGAAAAAGGCTCTCGGAAGTAAATGGGTCTACAAGATAAAGTACAACTCAGATGGCACAATAGAAYGGTACAAGGCGCGTTTAGTGATATTCAGAAACAAACAAGTTGAAGGGATAGACTACAATGAAACGTTTGCGCCTATGGCAAGATGGTTACAATTCATACATTCCTTGCAGTTGCTGCGGATAAATTGGGAACTACATCAGATGGATGTGCAGAGCGCATTTCTTCATGGAGATCTACAAGAAGAAGTCTATATGAAGATGCCTCCTGGATTTGCTTCAAGATTGCCTGGAAAGGTGTGCAAGCTGCATAAGTCGCTTTATGGTTTGAAACAGGCCCCTCGCTGCTGGTTTGCTAAACTAACGACAGCCTTGAAACAGTATGGTTTCACCCAGTCGCAATCTGATTACTCTTTGTTTACGCTTCGACATAAGCAGGAACAGTTAAATATTTTAGTTTACGTGGACGATCTTGTCATCTCCGGAAATAATGGCAATGCCATTTGAAAATTCAAGAAGTATCTGAGTCAATGCTTCCACATGAAGGACTTGGGAGCTTTGAAATATTTTTTATGAGTGGAGGTCGCTAGAAGCCAAGAAGGTATTTTTCTTTGTCAGCGGAAGTATGCTTTGGATATCCTATCAGAAATTGGATTGTTAGAAGCTAAGCTAGCTGGGCTTCCCCTAGAACAAAATCATAAATTAGCTMTGGCAGATGGTCCTATGATGATAAAGCCGAAGAGTTACAGGAGGTTAGTGGGTCGTTTGATTTACTTGACCATTACCCGTCCTGAGTTGTCCTATTGTGTGCATGTGCTCACTCAATTTATGCAGACCCCTCGTGAAGAATACTGGGAGGCGGCTTTACGTGTGGTGCGATATTTGAAAGGTAACCCGGGACAAGGAATTTTCCTTCCAGCTGACAGTGATCTTCGATTGTATGTTTATTGTAATTCTGACTGGGCCGGTTGTCCACTGACACGGCGCTCTCTAACCGGATACTTTGTTTTATTGGGACAAGCACCCATCTCGTGGAAGACAAAGAAGCAGCATACAGTGTCCAGATCATTGACTGAGACGGAATACAGGTCTATGGCAATAGCTACATGTGAATTGAAATGGTTAAAAGGGTTGTTGCATTCCTTAGGTGTTGGTCATCCTGACYCTATGCGATTATACTGTGATAGTCAAGCAGCTTTGCATATTGCTGTGAATCCGGTCTTCCATGAGAGGACTAAATACAATGAAGTAGACTGTCACTTTGTCCACGGTAAAATCTAGAATGGGAATATACGGCCCTCCTACGTCCGGACTTCCGAGCAACTTGCTGATATATTTACAAAGGCCCTGGGCAAGCCACAATTCGAACATCTTGCCAAGTTGGGCATTTTCCATTTAAATACACCAACTTGAGGGGGGGTATTGAGCCTTATCTTGTATAAACCTTATCTTAGCGTAGCCTTATCCTGTATGTATTTTAGTTGTTTTTGGGTTTGGTTTCCATCTTCATTTAGGAGTTAACTCTAACTCTAACTCTGTATATATATCTTGTAATCGTTCGCTAAAAGAGATACAAAAGAAAATCTTTCTCCTTCGACCTGAAGTTTCTCAGTTTGTGTCTTGTGATTCAACTTGTAACCTAGCTAGGAGCCAAGGAGTCTCARCTCTCAAATGGGAGAATTGGGGGCCGAGGTATACGATTATGAACACGCTGTCCCAACTCTCAACCACCCAGACTAGAAGGGTTTGGGCCCAATTAAAGAGTTTACATCTCTCTCCCTATATTATTCTCCCTCAATTTTTTTTTATTTTTCTCTCTCTCGATCAAAATCTCCTTCTCCCTCAATCTCTATTGTTCTCCAATTGGTGTAAATTTCATAGCCAAGAGTTTCTTGTGAATTTTATCAAATTGGTTTAATAATTTTGAACCTTACCAAATTGGTCTCATGTTCTTTTATATGATCTGATTAATACCATACAATTGTGTAAGAAAATAAGAAAAATAAAAAAAAGAGGGAGGGAGAGGGAGATAAACTGAGGGAGAATGATAGAAATTAAGGAAGAATGAGAGATTGACGAGAAAGAGAATGAGAGAGATTGAGGGAGAATGATAAGTAGAGAGAGAGAATGAGAGAAATTGATATAGATAACGTAAATACAAAAACCAAAACTATTTTTAATTATTTTCAAATCACATAGTTGTTGAGCAGATAAAGATGACTGAGAGAGAGAGAGAGAGAGAGAGAGAGAGAGACTAAAAACCTTTTTTTTTAAGAGTCCCATGTTTGCAATAGCCACATAACCCTTCGATGACATGGCGAGGGTTTTTATAACTTGAAATGTAGAGCCGTTTGTTAGAGTTTTGTTGGTTTATGGACCAACTTGTAACCAAATTTTAAATGTACAGCCGGCTCCGACTATAATTTTCTCTAATTTAAAACTAATCCAAAAACAATGCTATTTCTTATCTAGATGGTAGGTCAATGATCCAACTTTTCAAAAAAAACGCATAATGTCATAATTGAATAATAAATATTTAAGTTTGTTTTTAATCATATTGTTACTTTTTTTAATTTTCAATTTCTATCTTTAAGTATGATTTTTCTAAAATTCAAGTAATTAATATGAAGAAAAATCATATTAATTACTACTACCAGGATTTAGAAGGTGGCGATACTCATCCGCATCACAATCAGTCTTCCCATATTGCAATTTTTATAAAAGAATTTTCCTGGCCAGCTAATTAAATTGGCATTTCCCACCTCATTAGTCCACGTGGCGGGCTTAACCCACTGCCAACGCCTCATTAGTACACGTGGTACGTAGAAGGCATCCACTTTCACCAGACATATACATAGATAGCGGCTGCATCTTGTGTTTCGTATATATTAATTGAGTCTTTAATTAATTTCTGATCTTCACTTAAATCATTCTCCATAGGAGTTGAGTTGGGAATCGGGATCCCTTTAAAACCAAACAGGACATTTGCTTTTAGCGTGAAATCAACGTCGAATCAGTTGATGACTCTTTGGTCTTCGTGGATAAATGGATGCCCTCGATCGGAATTGGATATATAGAAACATTCATAGTCATGATGGGCGCCTATATATATACATATACATGTATTGATTTAATTTTTTTTTGTTGGTTGTCATCCATTACAGAATTATATATATGACAAAGATTGAGCACATTTTCAATTCTGAATCATTGTAGTTTGTAGTTGGTCTCTTATATGCGAAACTCTCATCTTTATAATATCATTAATTAATTAATTAGGATATATGATTTAATTTACAGGAATTAATGAAGACTCAAAAGGAATAAGCTGGTGTCCATGGCAGCCCAGAGTTGTACTTCACATCGCATGGTATAGGTTCCTTTATAGCTCCACTTTTTAACTTTTTCTTTTCAAAGAACAAAATCTATCTCATCTTTTAATAGTACGTTTCTAACTTTTAAAAAGAAAAAGGTACTGTTTAGAATTTCAGGTTCAACAATGTTTCCTTCTTTTAATTTGTTACTTGTACAACAAAATCATCATCATCTCCACCATCCATCCAACATCCAATATTGACCAGTGACCACTCCATCGAGTTCATATCTATCCTTAATTTAAAATGGCCGGGCCGGGTTATGGGTTATGATTCAACCTACAACCCGAATACTGATGATGGATCAAAATCCTCTTCATTCTTCAATCCGTAGACGTTAAAGCATCGAATTATGGATCTAGTTTTCCGTTTGCCGTCTCCCTTGAGCATTTTTCTTTTATTTAATATATTATATACATCCATCTCTTTAGTTTATTATATATAGGCTTTCACAGCAATTGAAAAAAGAAGTAAATAATGGGGGTAGTGGACCATGTGGTATTATGGCCAGTGGCCCCATGACTGTCCTAATATTTTCGATGGTGACACGTCCATGAGGACAACTTATGTTCCCAGTTTGGTCGTTTGTGATGGAAAGCAAAAGCACGATAAAGGTGCAACTATAGATTCTCTTTCTCTTGTTACCTATAATATTTATAGAGTTCCTAGCTAGTTTCCTGTTTACTAATTACATCTTACACACACAAAAAAGTATACCAAGTTTATTTATCATATGTAAATTTAAAGGGAGTGAGATCTGGCCACATGGTAATTACAAAGTGGGCGTAATACCCCTTAAGCCACTTGCATGTGGAATTTAGTAGACATATTTTGAAAGAAAATGACTTTTCACGATTTCGACTTGACCCTACGTTTGGTTTAATTGAAGGAATAGGTAAGGAAAGAAAGCATTACCTTTCCCTTCTTTTCCTTACTTTTTCCTTCAAACCAAACATAACCTTAGTGATAGCTATAGTAATGCTTTTTTTTAGGGCTGCAAAACGGTCTCATATTATCCAATTATTCCAATTTCATCCTATCAAAGGTGATTTGAATTTGATCACAAATATGGATCTATCATCTGATAAAATACAAATTCACTCGATTTAAATATATACATTGAAGTAGTTTTCAATTCAATTTTGTTCTTGAAATATAATATCAGAGTTAAATTTTAATTATCTATAAAAAGTCATTTTTAGTTCATTTTATTAATAACATATAATATTTTGGTTGTTTTTAGTTTAATTTTGGGTCATTTTCTAGAACACCTCCTATAGTTTCATGGATTTACTTAAACCTACCCTATAGTTTTCATTTTATAAAACACCCCCAATAGTTTGCAACTTAGGCTCAGTTTGGAAAGAGTACAAATACAAATATGTACAGTACAAATACATATAAAATAATACAAGATATAAGGTTTTGCACTCTACATATTTGTATTTGTACTACTTCCAATTGGAGCTTTATTTACTTAATCAACCTTTCACTTAGAAGTGTTTTTTTTTCCATATAAAATAGTAACATTATCACCTAAACTGAGTGGAAAATGTTCAAGGGAATGGATCTGTGCTTGTTTCTTCCAAAAGTACCCATAACACTTCTTTCTACAATAAAATGACCAAATAGAGCCAAATAAAGAAGTTACTTGTGTCTTATTAGGGGCAAAAATGATATTTTTATTTTTATTTTCTTTTACTCAAATTTATTCAATTGGTCATTAAGGTCAAACCAATCATTTTATACTGCCATCTAATGGAAGGTCAATTAAGTAAATCAATTGCAAACTATAAGGGGTGTTTTAATAAAATATAAACTATGTGGTAGGTTTTAGTAAATTCATGAAACTATGGGGGTGTTTTAGTAAATGACCACTTAATTCAATTATACCATTTAATATTTGATTACAATTTGAATTCAATTCAAATGTGATGGATAAGATTCAATATGAATTCAAATATAAATGAATCAAATTTGGTATTTGATTTGATTTGATTTGTTTGCAGCCCTAGTTTCTTTGACTGCATTTATATAAAAAAAGATCTATTCAAATCTCTCTTCAAAATTAAATACATAATAGTTAGTTTTCCCTTTACCCCCCGCCCCTTTTGCTTTATTCGTTTGAGTGCTTCCCAAATCCCAACCAAGAATAGTGAAGGTAAGAGTAGGAGTGAACAAGTAAGTCTTGGTTCCAATTCTTAGAATTGATCCCCATTTAGGCACCTAGGCTGGTTCCAAGGTTTGGGAGTTTACCCTACTCGAACAACCTAGAAAATCAGTCTTGATTGGCCTTGGTTGAATGCGTATGAAGTTGTATTTTATTTGCATTGGGATTGCATTAACTAAATTGCCGAGAGTGTGTGAAATTAGATTATGAATTAGTAATGATTATGTGATATTATTTAGGTTTTTTATAGATTATGTTTTAGTTTCTTTGAGATTGAATAATTATATGGATCTGAAATGTGGGATGTTTATGATAGATCATTGTCCAAGGTCAAAGCTTTAAAAGGGAAACAAATAAAGAAAAACATACTAATAATATTCTTTTGTAACGAAGAGGTTCCATGGAATGACCCTAGAATCGATCTTGAAATCACCAAGGCTAGAACTGACGTTGAAACCTCTGTGAATAGGGTAAGTTCTGGTTCCAAAAACCCTACAGGATAGGTTTCAGGTTCTATTATGGAACTGAACCAAACCGACCCATGCTCGCCCCTAGATAGACTACAAGGTACATTTAAACAAGGGGCACCGCACTTGGAGAGAAAACAAGGGGCGCTATTTTTGGAATGAACAGTGTTTTGGCTGTTAATATGGAATGCAATTTCTCTATCAAGCATAATGTTCATCACCCTTATTTTGACCTCGCATCAGCAGCAATGACGACAGTTGATCCAATAAAAGGCAGACATGTTTGCCATCCAACAGTTTTAGAACCAGTTCTGTTGGTTTAATTGATTTGGAACAAATTAAGGTCTTTCATGTCTGGGATTTATTGGAGGTGTCCCCATACCCTAGCCTAATGACAACGTACATACAGCAATTCATTGATACAAAGAAGTGTTTCAATTTTCAAACATTCATACCTCAGCCTAGCTAATACATTGTCTTGAGGTTGAGAAGTCGATAGGTCTTCAAAATTTGTCTTCCAAGGATAACGCATGCTAGCTAGGTTGCTGACTGAGATTTGATAACTAACTTTCCTATAGAAAACAATGTAATCAATCACTGATGAGGATATGCACATGTTTGGGTTACACTTCATTTGCAAGGATTTGGTTAGAACTACACCACCACCTCAATTCCATCGAATTCAATTTAGTAGGTAGTACTCTAGGATTTGCAAATCCAGATAGTCGTACAAATTCTTCCTCTAGGCCAAGCACAGCCTATAGTAGTACCCTCTCTTATACCTAGTAATAAATCATGAAAACTACTATCGTCCTACATTTTATGCATGATAACGCTCCATATTGAAAATTGATATATAGAACATGTTTTCTCCCTAGTTTCGTTTGTAGGAGGTAATTCAAATTCCATGCTTGGCACTTTCTGTTTAACTAACAAGGGAAAAAGGTCCATACATAATTTGTTCGAACATGAAACATTTTCATCCGAACATGGATTCATGGATACTGATGTGGTCTACGCTGAGGGTGGAAAAGGTAATAAATACTTAATTGTGTAGGGAGAAGTACAAGGCACCAATATATTTTATAATGTATTTTTTATAAAACGGGGTAATAATAGAAGGGACCACACAGCTTTAGGGGAACCACGTCCCTAAAAATGTAGGTAAGAAAGTTTTTAAAGGTGTCGGAATCAATTCATTCAAAACAGAAACTTCATAAGCTTTACCAATGTGCAGCTATATTTGCTTCTCTAAAAATATAAATATGTTAATACTGAACTTTTTCTTCCAAATTATATCTCATGGTCCTGGTCCTGCAGTCTTCAATGATATGCTTTAATCTATATTATAACGTATTATGTAAACGAATAAAAAATGGATGAGATGCTAGAATTTGGAATTATAAGTGTTGAATTTCATTGAACGCTATGGCTTTTATTAGTTGGAATTGAAATCTAATAGCCTCACTTGGGTCTCTAGCACTAGCACTGAAATCATAGCAATTAATGCATGCTAGAATTTGTCAGCTCGTCAAAGGAGTTCTTTTAATTAAGCACGACAATTAAAGAATTTGAAATTGAAGGAATATCCCATGAATTTCTGCCGACGCAATTCAAACTGCTGTTAGAATTGAGTGCAGACAATTTTAAGGAGCAATATTTGCATCAGCACGTAGAAACTGCTATGACTTTTTCATTTGTCTTTTCGACGCCAAGTAAATATTTTCTGCACCCGTCCAAATTCTGTACTTGTGATCAATGGAAAATTGATAAGCAAGGCAAACTGCACCGCAAACTACTCACGAGAATATAGATAATAGCTAGATTTGCTTCTTGTCTCCCCCCTCCTCCCGAAAACCCTCCTCCCTTCCCTCCTCTCCACAATTACAAATTTACAGTTAGCACGCACTTCTCTACACCAAAATAGCCCCATTGTCGTCGTTAAGTCAGACCAGTCGGAAACTGATTTTCAGGCAGTCGACCACTGGTTTCCTCCATCTTAATAATATTGGAAGAAAGGGCTTAATGTATTATTGTTATTATTACCATTGAAGGAATTGAAGTAATTCACAAAAGTCATTCTGTTGTCATTCAAACATCATTTGTAAAAGTTTCCACGCAAACCCAAAAACTATACCACGGTCCCACCTGCATGTAAAATTGGACCCATGCAATCAATTGGCCGAATCTTGAATGGCCCCATTGCCCAAAAAGAACAATAGAAAACAGAAAAAGAAATATGGATTACTCAAGAATTAATTTACAAATAACTGCAGGGGAAATATATGGTTATTAGTTCATTGAATTGAAGTAAAGAATTGCACGTTTCCAGCAAGGGTTAGGACTTAGGATGGTCGGACCTGCATGGTTTTCTGGTTTCCATTGCCCCATTTAATAGATGTATAGTCAAATGATCAATGATGCCCAAACTACACACACACACACATATTTATTGATGGCTCAAATATGCAAGGTTTCCTCATAGAGCATGTACACAAAAATATTATTTACCTTTGATTGAACACATAAACCTCCTCAAAGTAGTTGAGAGTTCATACAACTACGTTACCCTCCTGGAGTTGGGTAAAATATTGGTTACATTAAGGCATGTCAAGTACAAAATAGAATAAACCCCACCCCTTTCTCCATACATGAGGTGGCCAAGGTTTGACGGGAATTACATTGTGAAATTAGCATATTCTCAGGCTCAGCTCAACGTAGACTCTTCCTGAATCCTACCTAGCATCTGATAAACAGCTGTAGCTATTTCATCTACCGAAGTAAGCTGACACTCGTCTTCAACCTGTCTCCAACGACAACAAAACACCAATCAGATGAGGATGAGGAAGGAGGAGATGGAATGCCCATAACTGTTATAACTGTCTTATTAACTGACTGACCTTAACGCTGAAGGAATAGAGAACCATTTGATCAACGGCTGTAACGTTGAGGTGGAGGATAGTGAGGCGGAGGGTTTGGAAGCCGGCCACCATCTTCAATAGCTGTTTGGGTCGTCTCTTGGAGAGTACTTTGAGATTGGCATGACTCTCCACCATGGTCACTTCGATATCAGCAATAGCCGATCGGTTCTCGGCCGAAGCTTCATTTGAAGCAGTGGCCGAAGATGCCGATGTGGCCGGGTTGTTGCAGTGAGTAGAGCATGAGGAGTACTGAGGAAAGGTGAAGAAATCGGCGAAAGGCGAAGAGAACCCAACGTCTGACTGTTGCTTCATTCGTTTCTGGGCCTCCAGGGATTGGAGGAGTTGCTCGAGCTCCTTGACAAAATTAATGGCTCCCCCTATGATGGATGCTTGATCACCCTGTTTATACATACCAAAAAGAGATCTCAGAAAGTGAAACAAGGATATTAGGGTTTGATGATCAGCTTACAAAGCTACAATGTAATCTTTTMTAAATTGAAGAGTCGAAGATCTTTTTTCTAAAGAAAATCTGTGACATCTTTTTCTAAAGAATGCGATATTTAACTATGAAGCAAGCAAATAAAGAAAGAACTGGGCTTATGGTTTTCCAAGGTAAATCAGAGAGAGAGAGAGAGAGAGAGAGAGAGAGGGGAACAAACCCTTTGAACGTAAGATGGCGGCATCAAAGACCTTAGCACGGCGAGATATTCGTTCATCTGCTTCCGGCGATTACGTTCAACGGCAATGTGGGTCATCCTCTGATTCTCCACCTCTTCCTTGTTCTTGCAGCTCTTGGTGCGTCGTCTCTTACGACGACCGGCTGTCGCGGCCTGAGCATCCATTGGGGGGAAGCCTCCGGGAAAGAAGGCATCACCGGTGCAAGCCTCTGGGGAAGAATTGGCTTCCCATTCCTTGATATTTTGCACCATTGAAGAGGAAGAAGAGTCCCAATTTCCGCCGAGACCTTGCTCCATTTTCTTCTCAAGCATCTCAATACCACATTTGTTGTCTTCTTCTACGGCAAAATCGTAGCTCCAACCTCCTATTCCTCCTCCCAAGGAGTACAGATCTTTGCAGCCATAACTAAACAGGTCCTGTGGAAAAACTACAGCTTCCAATGCCATTATCTCTCTCTCTCTCTCTCTCTGTTTCTCTGTCCCCTCACTCACTCTTGTATGTGTGAATGTGTGATTAGTCTTCTTTTTTCACACAAATACAAGCATGTATCGACAGAAGAGAGCTGTTGTTTACTTCAAATGGAAGGTGAGAAGCGTAGAACTCCTTTTCCTAAGCCCAACCCGAATCAAGAAAACTAGCATAAGCACAACCACAAACCAAAATACCAAACAAACTCGCCTTTTGGTCCTCCCTCGATGGAGAAGTCGAGCTTTTAAAGGCGTTGATCAAACAAATCTAATCTACAGTTCGAGTTGCACGTGAGACAAGCGAGAGACTACTGTAGAGAGAGAGAGAGCAGTATGATGATGTATTTGATTTTTCGGTATTATATATTAGTTGAGTTTATAAAAAAAAAAAGAGAAGGTTTTCGAGGGGGTTTTGTTTGATTTGGTAATAATGACGGTCAGACGTTAAAATCGAAAGGCAGAGAGAAAAGAGAGATGAAAAGGCTGACAAAGCAGAGATTCTGGTAGAGATCGGGGAGAGCCCGAGAGGCCGTGTTTGAGAGAGAGAGAGAGAGAGAGAGAAAGCAGAGTACGTAGGTAGAGTAGAGGTGAGCAGAAGAAAGCAGCTTCGTTCAGGTGTCGGACATGTGAAGCAGGGGAATCCATGTGACCACACAAACAAAGCCACCCTGCAATCATCTACGATAAAGACTAACTCCCTTTCCCAAGATTTATGTCCTTTTTTGTGTTTTAACCCTACATTTTGTTGATTTAATCACTAACACCCCCCATTTTACTATTATTTATGTATAATATATATTACACATTCATTAACCCCTTTCGCCTTCAAGCATCCTATTCGTCACTATTTTCTCTGCTGGGGGGGTTCTCCTTTTCCCGTCTCTTTTCTATTCAGTCAGTCAGTCAGTCAGTCAGTCTTTCTCTCCTCTTCAAGTTCCTTCCATCCATCCATATACTGATTACTATTATTAATCTGACGTACTCCTCCAGCGGCTGTGTATTTAGTTTTTACTTTATATATATGTACTGGGTTCATGGATTTGGGTTGCCACTTGTCAAATCCTTAATCAACTTTTAGCCAGGCGCCCAGGCCATTCGCTATCAGGATTATTACCCAACTGCCACCCCTTTGATCTCGAATCTTTAAACAAATCGAAGACCCAATTGGCACCCCTTTGAATGTATCCCAAATATCCTTGTTTAAGAGATACGATGACGACTAAACAAAACTCTGGTTTTAAGAAACACCACAATTTGATTTGATTCCCGACCTTCTATTTTATTATTTTTATTATTTAGCTTTCACACTTAGAATCTCGTTTCGTTTCATTCCTCTGAGACTGAGACCTTCTTGGTGAAGCTGTTTGTTTGTACCTTAATTGCCAATTTAATTAATTAATCTCCCTCTCTCTCTCCTCTGTCATGACAAGGTTGTAATCAGATTCCTATTACCATTGACATGTTACGAGAGCATAAAATCGCCGTTTCCGCGTTGGTGGGTCCGCGTATCCTAATATTTACATTAACTTTGATTCATGGACACGATTGATATCCAAATTCTATCTTATTCTTGTATAATTATGACTTAATAATTACTAGAAAATGATACTCTAAATCATATTACAGATTGAATATTGAAATGTTTTAATTGTATTTCCTTTTCTTTTGTAATATTTTAATAATTTCAATGGTGGGCTTAAATCCTTGAGGTAGGGAAGGAACTAGGAAGGAGATACATCACTCATCATTCATCAGAATAAATAAATAGAAGAGAGAAAGAAAAAAGGATGAACAAAAGAATCCAGACCCAAATCTGAGGGATGGCGAAAGACTTGATGAGGGTTTGATTTGATAATTACAAGGGTAGCTAAAATAATAGGTGAGGTCTGAGGAGTGAGGAGACACAAAAAGGAAATGGGTCCATGGATCACCATTCACCCATCAATCCATGTAGCAGAGATTGGGTTTGAATTGAACTTAGGAAGAGTGTTCCGGGAAATGTATATATAAATGTATCCTTGCAAGAAATTCCGGCTTGTTTTGTCATTATCAGATGGAGAGCGTGGTGAAGTGCAGAGTAGAGAGAGAGGTAATGGTAATGGACTGATTTCGACGATGTGGATCTTGCTCCCTCGGCTTGGGCCCCCTTGGCCCTTGCCAAAGGTGGCCGGGGGAACATATACAAGTCATTAACCCCTCAACCCTACGTTAGCCCTTTGTCTCATCTCCCKTCAACTTGCACGTCTGAGGGTCCTTTTTAATCACAGCTCATCATTCTATGACAAAAACAAACCCAGAACTAATACAGCTTTTCGTAACATATTTTTCCTTGCTCTCACACTAATCTTAACCCCGCTTTTTCGATCTAAACATGTGCCTATGTGAAGCGCAAACCCCGGTTTGTACCAGCCAACCATGTGCCCAGGAGGATGTACAAACTACAATCTACACACTACCGATAAATGATAAATCCTGAAATCCATCCCCACCGATACGATATTTGTTATTCTGTTGCTGCAACCCCCCCGAAACTTTTTATTTATGTCATTAATATAATTCTTTAAGCACATGTGAATTCCACCAGTCACCCAACCAGGAATGGTTTTAGCAAAACAATGGATTAAGTTGCTGCTAAACCGGATTTGAATACCAGTTTCCTGACGATTAACAAAAAACCGTGGATTGCGCTCCTTAAATTCCGGATACTTAAATTATTATTTTTCTTCTTCTTCATTTTTTATGTTTGAAGAATGATTTTTCATTTTTGCTACGTGAGAGAGAGAGAAAGAGAATCTGAAAGGTCCCAGTAATTTGTACTTTTGTACCAATAGCTTAAGCGATGCGTAGAGAAAGTGGATGATATTATAATACACGTTCCAGGAACACATACATACTCGTAGCTTCATTTACCTGTCATCGTATTGTTGTTTGTTGGATTAGTTGTCTCTAACAACCGACAGTTGATCAATGTTTATTTGATATTTCATTTGATGGTGTGGCCTGTGGGGCAAAGCCATGATCTGATGGTCCCACATCTGATTGCTCATGACTGTTTAATTACCTTTAAAACAACATGGATGAGAGAACCAAACGCCAACAAGCCATGTTGGACAGCTACACCGCCCGCACTGGATCCTCTCTCTCTCTCTCTCCGTGGACTAGTATTAACTATGAACAAAATGAATACACACACAGATATCAAAGAGGGCGAAGGAATACATGGTGTAGTCATCACATTCCGACAATTATGCCACTATGAAAACGTCATGCGGCACGTGGCATATTGTTGAAACATGTGCTTCGAAGAATGAGAAATTGAGACAACCTTTTTGAGTTAATTTTAGTTACCCAAACACCCCTTTTCTTTCTTTAACTTTAATTAATTCTTTCTCCGTGCCGATACACGATACCGTGGGGTCGCAGAATCTCTCCCTTCCAACTTTATTCATCCCATATCCCCCCCTCTCTCTCTCTCTCTTCAGCCGACTCATTGACAACTCAAAAGCCTGGTTGAATTGTCTAGTAGAGTGTAGAGAGTAGAGAGGTTTAGTATGAGATGGATGCTCTTGTGAGCTCTATTTGTGTTACAAACTGTTTGTTTTTTTAACTTATTTCCAATTCCATTAAATTGGGCCCTCGCAAGCCTGCCTTAGAGGCCATTCATGAATCAATTAAGCAGTAAAGCTTTACTAACTTTATCGTGATCTTTCCTAACTACAGACAATATCAGTGTCCTCAAAAAGCTAAGTCTGTCGAAGCACACTGTCCCTGTGTTTCTTCTTGATTGTTAAACTATAAACCCCACAAATTAAAACGATTGGAAATTAGTAACGAAAATTCCCTTCACCCGAAATTTAGGTTAATCGCAACGGTTCATATATCGGCCAATGTCTCTAGTTACAGAAATTCTCATCAAGAATGAAGCTTTAAGAATCTAAGGTTAAGAGGTTAGAGAGTTATATATTTAAGCCTCCTTTTATGACTTAATTTTGTCCATTGTGGAGACAAGTAGTCCTAGGCTGCGTTAAGACCTTGAAGCTCTAATGTTTAATGGAGAGCGACCATGGCCTACCTACCAAATTAGGTCGGGGTACCGTATATATTAGTCTTATTTAAATGTGACAAATCAATGTATTACATTGAATAAGCTTTGCGTAACCTTAATTATAATTGTTATTAACACTTAAAGATCGGGTAATTTCTGAGGGTAAAGTACTAGTAGCCACGTACCTGAATTTACATGCATGCCCCGCATCAGTCCCCTATCTTTTTTCACTTTTCCAATAATAGTTACGTTGTTAAAATTTTTTAGTTAACAAGGTCAGAAATTTACTCTCTTTCTTCTTTGCCACATGGCAAAGGCCACTAGGGCTCTTAAACTTGCCAAATCTCAAGACATTGGCGTATGGAATTAATAATATGCAAACCCATTTTTTGTTGCCATCTCATCCCATCAGCAACTACCATTTGAAGTAAAGGAGACAAATATTCCACGCATCGAATATATGCCGTTGCAGGTGGATAATGAAGGGATTTTGGTAAATTATGAAGTGGATGAAACGAAGCAGGTCTATCTCATATGATATTCGTTTCCCTACAGTCTCCACCATATGATCCTAGGGGATCTGAATTCTCAACTATAAACAGGAATTCCAACAGCTTCCCTTCTGTTTTATCTGAACAGTATACGGCGCACTTGTGCCAAATTAATGTTATCCATACGATACTCTATGTCGGAGGTCTGTTTTTCAAATTGTTCATAGAGAGAACTACCTACTACCACCCCCCATCCCCCAAAAAAAATAAATAAATAACAAGAAAAGTATGTAATATTCAACGATATCTCTTCAGTTTAATAATTCATTTTTCTTTTCACAGTGGGATTGTATATTTTAAGGCTCCATTTGTTTGCAGGAATAGAGGTCTGGAATCAGAATCAGAATGAATTATTTCGATTGCAGCTGTTTGGTTAGGCAGAACAGGAATTCCATTCCCATTCCTATTGGAATAGCATTCTTCCATTGAGGGAATGGTCATTCCCTGCCTCTCTTTTAGAAATAAAATTTCATTCTTGTTAATTTCAATTCCCATTCCTATTCTTATCTGAACCAAACAAACTATAAAAATAGGCCATTTTGATTCTGATTCCAATTCCGATTCTAACTGCAAACCAAACCAACCCTAAATATCTTACATCAAAATTGATGTAAAAGAAATAGTTGCAACAATTAAATCAAATTG